CGTATATTCAGGAAAATCTAAAATTTTAAAATCAGGATAAAAAAATAGTCAAAATCAGTTTTGAATTTAAATCAAAGGGTCAATTAGCCTTGGGAAGGCAATAACTACTTTTGGAGTAAGCGGATTGCGAACCGCTGGCTCATACTTGGTTCCTGAAAAGAAGAAAGGTCGGTGACCTAAAGTACGTCTCACGCGCTTAGCTATGGCAGTAACTTTTTAGACTAATGCTGATTAAATGCGTATTGCTACCTTAGGAATAAAGCCGTTTTCAATTTATGGCGTACAGCTAGCTGTCCATGTCAGAGTTTCATCAGCATCAAAAATACAGCTTTTTCCATACTCATGATGCTATTCTATTATATTTGTCCACTGAACAACTAAGTCCCCTGTTGATTGAGCGTCACAGGGACGTTGGACAAACCCTGTGGTATGACCTGCCAATCACCGAGCATTCCACGCAGATTACTCCTCGCAGTGATAAAAATCTTTTTTCTCTTGGGCAAATAATAACGGTACATGAAACAGCGTCAGCCGCCATTGTTTAACGTCATCTAGTTATATGAACACGCAATTTTTGATACTTGACGCTACCTTGTCCGACATAAAAAATCGCTGCCGTGTGTAGAGATTTATTTTCTCCCAGAAAACCGCTTCAAACTTAGCGCACATAACGTCACACTATTTCCTTGGCAATGACCATATCGACAAAAGGCACTTCGAACACTTGTACCGTATTATATCTAAGCCAATTGCATCGAATGTGTCAGGCTAAAGTACACAAGACTAAAACACTTTTCCCGTTACACCCTGCCTAAGATGTGGAACAAAATGAGACTCACGCTTATTTATCTTTCTAAGACCCTGATAGAAAGTGATCGCTTCCCGAGCAACTACTGCGCCTGGAGTTTAAATTCACTCTATGCACTTTTATCGTGCATTATCGTGCACCAAGAGTCCGCTTCCAGACGCCGAATCTGATCCAAACGACGCCTAAATTACGTTTATAAGACGTCCAAAATCAGACGTCTATCATGGAACCATCTCAAGATAGACGTTGCAAAACACTAAGCATGCGGTCGTTGAGATAGCGACCTTCACCTCAGCTGTTTACAGTCTCACTCGTCTCCATAAGATAGTCGTAACAGCTACCGACAAAGAGCCCTATTTACCGCAAGATCAAATGCCTTTTAATAGTGAGTGAGATATAGGACAGGAGTGCACCGCATTGTACGAAGCCACCAGCAACCGAGCAATTTTGCCGAATAAGAGCATCAAGCTCAAACGAGTTTTATAACCCTTGCACTTCACCAGACACTGGTAACATCCTTGGTGTACGCCAAACATGTCACGCGAGAGTGGATCACCCCTTGCTCATGAGTGGCGATGGAGGTCGAGCCTTCCGCAGCTGGAACTTATGAGATCTCTTGATTGTAACATCACGTTGAATATATTCAAAAGTAACGGTGTGTGCTCGAGGCTGTGAGCAGGATCTCGGAATATCTCACAGAGCTTTGCCATTACGCTGCTCGACTTAAGGCACCTCCAGCGATTTTGAACAGCGTCACTGATTTGAAGCATAGGGTATTTCAGCTTGAGGGGTAGTAAAGCCGTTGATTCTTCGCATCTCACGTGCTCGCGAAAGCAGAATCGTGGTGTAGATTCACTTAAACTGCGCAGATCACTGGGGTCGTCTGCATTTGCTTCAGTTTATTCAGAGGACAACATTATCCCGTTTTTGCTTTCGCCGTGAACGGTCCGCTGAAACGCGGTCTAAACGTGGTCGTTCGACAGCAGACACAGCATATGCAGCTAGATATCTTGCACTCAGAAACTCGTTGATTTTGCTCCAAAGTCCAGACGATCTGACCTTGTAGCCTAACTTTGATCGACAAGCAATCCTCACAAGACCAAAGCTACTTCCTGGCGGCTGTGATAAACAAACTATTGCCTGTAGAGACAGACATGTGCAACTTTATTTAGCGCAAATACAATTAGTGAAATGAATTCGCTGCATTACAGAACATCCTGTTCAGGGTGCTTACTGCAGTGAGAGGTTATCGCCCATCAACTACGTCGAGGGCAATTTACAACATGCAGCCGACCATGCATATCTTTTCTAGCACCAACATGTGCGCCGAAATCTATAATAATGCACATTTTGTCACTTGCCATGAGCCTTTCTGACATCGAAAATCGATGCCGAGAAGATACATCTGCTTCGTTCTCTAACGTCTGTGACGTCGCACTTTACACTAAGTAAAGGTGGTTGGCTTGTAACGCAAAATTTGGTGTCAAGGACCAGATCCCCTTTATCCAGGTGTCAATACGTTGTTGATCTCCTCACCACGCCATGATATTCATGATATTAAGGAGCAAAAGAGTCTGTAAAATCATAGTAAATAGCTGTCCTAGTTCATGCACTTAATGCTTTGAAAGTGTCACTTACACTGTGACTTATAGCACGATTGTATATCATTCTATTCCTCTAAATATTTCTTTTCAATTCAAATATTACTTAAACCCCCTTTATTAATACAATATTTTTTCTAATCTATTACTTCGACAAAATTTGTCTACATCAACTCTGGTTTCCCGGAGCCAACAAGTGATTTATACACTCCTCCTTTCTTCTTCATCAATGCTATAGGTGTATCAAATTCCACAACTTCTCCAGCATCTAAGACTAAAATCTTATCACTATCAGCAATTGTTTCCATTCGATGTGCAATACTCATCACAGTACATTTGCCATTTCCAAAACTTTCTTTCATTGTTTCTTGAATCACTTTATCCGATTCTAAATCCACATTTGCTGTTGCTTCATCCATGACAATCACTTTACTTTCACGAATTAAAGCTCGAGCAATACACAATAATTGTCGTTGTCCAACTGAAAAGTTCTCACCTTTTTCCGCGACGAGATATTCTAATCCTTTACCCCACGATGTAATCATGTCATATAAATGAACTCGTCTTAATACTTGCCATAATTCAGCATCACTTTTTTGACCAAAAGGATCTAAATTCAAACGCAAAGATCCACTAAAAAGCATCGGATCTTGTGGAATAATAGTCAAGTGAGTTCGTAATTGTTGAATAGTAATCGTAGCAATGTCAATCCCATCAATCAAAACACGTCCTGATGTTGGAATTTCAACTACACGAAAGAGAACACTCATTAACGAACTCTTTCCTGATCCAGTACGTCCACAAATTCCAACTTTTTCACCACTTGCAATTGAGAATGAAACTCGTTTTAAAACTAATGGTAAATCATCACGATATCGCATTGAAACATTTTGAAAATCTATTGTACCTCGTTGTGGCCAAGTGACATCTAATGTCTCTTTTTTTAAAGGAGTACGTTTTGATCCTTCTTGATCTAAGGTTCCATAATGAGCAATTCGTTCAAAACATGTCATACTACTTTCAACACGAGATGCTAATGTTGTCATTCGTTGAAAACTTGAAGATAATTGAGCAGCATATGATAAACCAAGTGCAGCTGCTGATGCTCCAATTGTTGATTGAGCAGCAACAGCTAAAACTGCTACAATTCCAACAATAATTGAAACAAACCAATCTGTTCGCATATCAAACCAACGAGATGAAACTTGTGCTAGAAAGAAGACACGAATATTTTGATTTAATAACGTTTCACATCGTAAAGCAAAGGAATTGACCATTTGAAAAGAACGAATGGTTTCAATTCCAGAAACCGTTTCAGACATTAAATTTAAAAAAGGAGATCGAGTTACACCATCCAAACGTTTAAGTTCACGTGCAGTAGCACGATAGACTTTTGCAGCAAACCAACAACCATATCCAATAGGGAGATAAACAAAAAGAACTAATGGATTGACAATAGCACAAACAAGAAATGATGAAGCAACTTGAAAAAGACAAAGTGCAAGCCATAAACCCCAATAGGGTAATGGATTATCCACTTCATCCAGATCTCTTGAAAATCGATTGAGAATTCGACCAATCGGTGTGATATCAAAGAATGTTGTAATTGGTGCTGCTAAGACTTTATTCAAATGTTTCAAATGAATTTTCAATGAACAAAGCATACAAATGGCCATAAACAATAGACAACGACCAAATGAAAGAATTGCAGCAGTTAATACAATACCAACGTAAATCACAAGTGCATCCATTTGAGTTAAATGTAACGATCCTTGTGCCCATTGACTTAAAAACCAATCACATCCAAATAAAACAACTTGTGCAATTGTAAAGAGTGTAATCATTAAAAAACATAAAATATGTCCATTCCATCCTGAACTTGCAAGATAATCAACATAAGATTGAAATTTCACTGATCCAACTAAACGATCTTCTGGAACAATTAATTTTCCCGAACTTGGTGTTTTTAATGTTTCAATACTCGTACGAATAGATGTGACAACCGTTTCAATATTTGATGTCAATTCATGAAAACTCGTTTGTTTTTCAACTTCCATTGATTCCTCAAAAGTTGATCGTCGTGTTCGTGGAGATGAAGATAAAAATGGAAATGAAGTTTGTAATTCCATTAACTTGCCATCTCCACAAATTTTTCCATTTGACATCACCAGAATACGATCAGCATGTTCAAGTAAATGATAATGTGAATTCAAAACTAAAATTCGAGTTGTTTTTCTTGCAAGACATTGAATTCCTTTGGAAAAGACGGAATTTGCTACATGTACATCAAGTGCACTCAATGGATCATCAAATATCATTAAATTCAATTCATTGGAACGATACATAGCACGAGCAAGTGCAATTCGAGCTTTTTGACCTCCACTGAGATTAATTCCACGCTCTCCAATCTCCGTTTTATCTCCATGTTCTAACATTTGAAAGTCCGAAAGAAGTTCACAAGCTTGAATAACACGTTCATAATGTTCCGATTCATATGGTACACCAAAAAGAATATTCTCTTGTACCGTTTGATTTTGAATCCATGGTTCTTGACTAGCATATGCTATGTTGCCATGTACCACTCGTGTACCACGAAGTTGTTCCATTTCACCTAAGATAGCATGTACTAAACTTGATTTGCCACTTCCAACTGGACCAACAATCATTGTAAGTGTACCAGGTTGTGATGTGAAATTGATATCACATAGTGTCAAGTCAACAGCATCTTTTGTCCATTTAAAATCTCCATCTTTTAATGAGATTTCAGGTACTTGTCGTGGAACATCTTCAATCTTCTCTGTACCAGTTTGATGTGTACCTGTATCATCTGAGGCTAAAAAATCCGATAATCGACTTGTAGAGGTTATTGCTTCTGCAAGTGCAACCGAAGCATCCGCGTAAATACTAAATGGTGTACGACACGCATTTGTTAATGCCACGATTGTAAATGTTGTTGGAATATCGAGAGAATTTCCAAGTAGAATCGTCGACGAGAAACAAACCAAATTTAATAGTGTTGGTGCTAAGAACATCAAGACCGTGTTCGCTAATCGTACTCGATGATATTTTCGTAATAAACGAATCTCGCGATCACGAATATCATTAATTAAATCCGTTGCAAACCCTTCCCAACTATAAAACTTGACAACACGAATTCCTTGAAGCATTTCATTTGTTACCTTCAAACGACTTGCACTTAAACGTGATATTTCTTGTCGATATCCCCCAATTTTTTTTGACATATATGATGATGCATACATAATCAATGTAATCGTAACCATGGCCACAAGTGCTACAATAGCAGGCATTTGAGTTCCAATAAGAATCCCAACAATAGCTAACATCAATGGAGATATAGTACACCACATGCCTAATTTATAAGCCGTAAGAACACGATCACAATCAACTCCAACAAACGTTACAATTTCGCCCATATCCATCGTTCGTCGTGCTGTAGCTGTAAGACGTAAAATCTTACGATATGCACTATTCATACAGATCATACGTGCATTGCATGCTACACGTGTTGTAAGAAATTGGCCAGCATTCACAGTTGTAGCTCCTAGAAATGCGGTACAACCTAATAGTATCGCTAATGTATACCCCGATGAAATGCGTAATAAATTCGGACTCCCTTCAAAATGCTGTAAAATTGCTTTGATAAGAAATGGTTGGAACAGGATCAAACCTGCACTGAGAACATGAAGCACAAATGCAATTCGCCATGTTTCTTTCACACTCTTCCAAATGGCACGATTGACATTTGGTCGTTTACGTGTCCCATTTCTCTTGAGACGTCCAGCCACACGTTGTGCTTCTATTTGATAAAAATGATCAAATTTTAACTGAAGGGGACGTGCTTGATCAATTGTGGGAAGATCCCAAACACTTTGTTCATCTAATGGAGCTTGATATCCACGTCGAAGAAGTGGATGCATCCACCACATTGTCGCAATGGATAAATATCCAGCTGTATTTAATGGATTCTCGGTACTTCGAACTTGAGACTTGGTAAGGTCTTTAAACAACGCATCGGTAGCTGACACTTCGCCTGCTGTTGACGTCTTTGCAGGCGAGAAACGTAAGTCTTGAGTCTCTTTAGTCATGACAGTGTAGAGAAAACCCTTTTTTTTTGTCCTCTCAAGCAAAAGGAGGAATGTCAAGATTTATGTATTGCAAATATCTCAATGGTTTCACACGAATTGTAAGCGAAATGAACGGATGCTGAGAGATGCTTGAACGTTTTTGGACTAGCTGTAACACCCTTCGCTGAAAGAAGGACAAAGTACGACCTTCCGCCATGTCGGCTGTCCCGAATCCAGATGTCTACGTCTTCAGACAATATACCCAGACACATGACGTTTTTATTTGTCAAAAAGAGGAGATTTATAAATTGGAGGATTAGTTTAAGAAACTGTTGTTTTGAAAAATCTGAGGAGACAGACACACTGTGAGCGTGAAATGGATGTAGAATGAGAAAGAAGGAAAGTGATGAGAGTATGAAGATATTGATCGTATAAAGAAACGCATGATGGTGCTATCTTCGTACGAATTAAAGCTGATACGACGCAGAATTAACATTTGAATTAAATTCTAATTTTTACGTATGAGCCAGTTAGTACTGTGGGATAGCATGGTCACTCTCTTGAAATAAGATGTACAATAAACCGAATATTTGACAACTGCAACCTGAATCAGAATTGGGACTCCGGCTTCTTGTCGAATGTTCAAATCCTGTTATGATAAAATTACCTTTAGCTTCAGACAAGAAATATACCATACGATTATGCGTAATGTCATGTACGGCAAGCTCAAGAATAAAGATCAATCAATACCATCGGTAAACTCAGATATTTAAGAAAGACGCTCATCAAAGTGGAAGGTACATGTAAGATGCGATTGCTGATGTGTTAAGATGACTTTCTTCAAAACGGAACTAATGAAACGGCGTTTGGATGACGAGTTTAGTGGGAAAAACAGCGTATGTGCTTGTATCTATTAAATGATCAATTGATTACAATATTGATTCAGTTCTGGAAGCTGAATGTGAATATTTTTTACATTGTAGTGTTGGAAAAATGCTTTATCTTGGGACCTTGAAACAAGTCGTGAAGCACACTCTGTGCTTGGATGAGGTGCCATGAGCAAATCTCACCCATCTTACAAGAACTTTATTCGGGAAGCGCATCGAATTGATGTTTCTCGTCCTGTTGAGCTTTTGATCTGTCAGGCAGTTATTTTTGGTGCTGAAAAAGTATTGATTTCGTTGTGCTATGTTTTATTACAAATTTGTCAGGCGAGTCGAAGGTAAAAATCGCCTACAGCTTTTGCTATTGTATCGATGAGAACACCACGAGGACCCTGAACGTCATGATGGCACATTAGAGTAAGTGAGAGCGAATTCGAGAGGATTAGACGACTCTTTTACAAGAATTAGTATAACAAAGCAAGTACTGCTTAAAATACAATACGATACAATTGGAAGAAATTCACATTAGACTGTGGCATAACCGTGAATTTTCATAAGACCGAACATCTGTATTTTTGAGGAGGAATTGGTCAAAAGAAATAATAATACGTATATATAATATTACTCTGGGCTGCATCAATAGTAATTATAATTATTATATTCGTGAAATAGTGAAGCAAACTAATAGCGCTAGTTATTTGAGAGGCTCTTGGTCTAACTCTGGGCAGGAGCGCACAAACTAATCTATGTGTGCTTGCTGACACGGATGCTGAGAATCAAACTTTTTAGCTGTGCAAAGTGCATGGCAGCTCAGTTGCACTTGGTAGCACGTGAAGCCCATTCCACAACCGAGTTGTGGTAGCGCTTCTGCCTTCGAGAAATGGTGAGACTCGGTTAGGAGAAAAGCGCAAGGTACCCAGTGTTTTCGAATTCATTTTACCATGGTTCATAGCGCTTCAGAGACGCAATGCCTAGGATTAGGTTGCATCTTGAAATCTAATCTGAGACTGAACACCATTCCACGCTGTCAAATCCATCAGACTGTACAGATAGGACTGTATTTAGTATCCGGCAGCCGCGGGTCGAACATAACTGCTCGACCCTCTTATATCTATCAAGAACGCTGAGCTGAGCTGTCAGCCACACCTTCATAAGATAGGGTAGCTTTCTTTGGGTCTAGTCCGTGGTGATTTTTTCCAGTAAACCGCCCTGTGCCTACTAGGGTCTACTTTTGCTGTCGAGGTGTTCATCGGTCGACCCTGTGCTGAAGCTCGACCCATTTTACCTCTCAGTTGATAGAGTAGGAGCCACGCAATGCGCTGATGTTTTGATAGGAAACATCTACCCGGCAGCTACGAGATCGTTCTATTTCTCCTCGGCATTGCCTAGATCCATCGCATTTTACGCACTGATGTAGCCTTGAGCTCATGTACCCGTAATGGCTTTAGTGAATTGAGCTCCGGATTCAACGCGGCACCAACTGCTTTTTTGAAAGAGGTAGAATAAGCGAGTCAGTCTCCGGTGCGGCTGCATATCTGTATGGAGGCGGTTACCGTGTCGATGCATGGAAGAGGGCCTGCTACGACAGATCTCTCAACCTGCGAGCTCAATCATCTTTTGAACAAGAAGTTTGATTGCACACGGCCGGTAGAATTAGGATATGCAAACATTCGTGGCATTTCGTTTGAAATCATAATCTTTATTTGGAGAAAAAATCACACGTAAAGTGCACATTCTCGCGCGCGATCTTCTAGTTTGAGGGCTGCTACTCAACACGCTGATGCTCCGTCAAGAGCATGGCCAAATATGTGTCTCCCTCGACAAATATTAACCACCATTCGTCTCTACCCTCCAAAAGGCTTGACGCTTAGTAGCATTACTTGCGACAGTTTGACTTTTTTCACAGACGCCCGGTTGCGGCGCTGGTGAAGATGTTGCACAAACTTAACTTCTTAGACGTGATCTCGATAACCCCACCCCGTCCATTCCTTGAGCAACCAATTGAGCTATTTCTTTGGGTTCAACTAAAGACACAAAACTCAGGGTGAGAGGAGAGCATGTCATGTTTCATTCTCATAGAGGATGCAGTATTATCCAGACCTCACCGCACAAGTGACGACAGCTGCAGATGGACGTGCACCTCGTACAGCGAAAGTTATCAGCGTCCGTGATAATTTATGCTCAAAGATTGGATTCGGGTGTGCGACTGACGCGCCGAACCGAAAGTCTTTCTCAGTTTATATCAAGAGTGACTTATATCACGTGTTAAAGTTCATTTTAAAACGATACTGAAAGCATATTGTTAGGATCAACAATAAAAAATATTTTTGTGATGTGCATTGGTAGCCTAAGTGTCGCACTGACCTCTTTTCTTACAGAGCTCCATCTTCCTCATCCGTGCTGAATACTTATCATATAGCTCAATCATGGCACTTTCTTTTATACTTCTGAGCTTCGCTGTTTCAATCGTGTATTGTCCTCGCACACTAAGGTACATCAATGTGGTCTCTAAGGGGGGGTCTAGGGATACTCTAAATGCCATTTTATGCAAAGGTTGAGCGGACGAAGTAACATAATCAATGCAGTCCGTCCACTAGCGTACGCCAAGAGAAAGATCGCGCGAATTAAACGTAACCCTAATGTAAATTTTTGCAACATTGTTTCCGATCGACACTCTAACAAATGCGTCACAAGAGCAGGTGTAGTTATCTAAATACAGTAATTCTGGGAGTTCCAAAACATAAACTCCATCCCGTACATTATGTGATCAAGTCACTTTGAACGAGGGACCATTAGAGAGATTATAGTTATGAATATTCAGTAGTGCGTAAAGCTCCAAACCGGTGATCTGATCCGGTTCCATGTCGCCGGACCGACGTAACATTAACTATTATGATCATGGTAGGTTTTATACACAGTGCGGGACTGAGCTCCCAAGTTCCACAAAAAACGCACACCGTTATGTGAGTTAAACCTCTCGGAACGTGTCAGCTACGCGTTGGTAATTGTGGAGATGGCAACCACCGTGAAGCCGCTGATGGTAAGCGGTCAAGCTTCTTGAAAGTTGAGATGACAATCATTACGGCCACGCTTCAGACAGAGCAACAGCGCGTTGCTTCAGTATCCCCAAGAAGGAGGCCACGTGTCAAGCACTATGATATTAAGTAGTTAGAGTACTTGACCAAGAAAAACGTTAAAGAGTTTTACCAGCAAATTGCCATGCATTCTTATATCATCAAATCCGTCAATATGTAAAAATATGGTCCCAGAATTGCACAGTGTTTTTATTTTTTTGAATTGCTCATTGTTATGTTCTTAAGCCAGTACGTGTTCTACCCCCTACCCTACTAATATATATGTATATAAAAGTATAAGAACTCGGAACCCGAGCACCACCACTCCGTTCTGCTGAGGGCTGTATGGAATGGAACGCTGGTGTACAATGCCGTTCTGTTGACATATTCCAGCCAGATAGGAGATGTCAATGTAACCACAACCCTTCTATTCTTAAAATTTAGTTTCGAGAATTTTGAAACCCAGGTTCCCACAATTCATCAAATCATTGCAATTCACTATAGAATTGAAGCACCACAGCAGCTCTAGTAAATACGACATCATTTTGAAACCGGTTCGAAACGCGGTTTTGGAACCTTGGAACTCAACATAAACTGAGGTTATTTTGAAATTGTTACAGAAGCATGGAGAAGAAGCGCCTCAGGTAAGCGACGATCGCGCGAGATAGCAACATCCGACTGAATTAATTTGAATTTTTATAAATATATTAATAAATATATAGAAACTAGAAAAATTATAAATCCAGTCTGAGAAATAAAAATGATTGGTTAAATCTATAGAATCATCCATATTGAGAGTGAGGGACCTATGCCACATTGGTTCTACTATCAAATTGTCATGGCGTTCGCAAGGACACAAAAATAACTTTCGACGTTGGGTTGAAGGCAAATGTCAATATTTCTATACCTCAAAACTCATGGCATTGATAAATTCAAGATCACTCTCGTGAAGGAGTATGAGGTTGTAGACAAACAGCATCTTCAAGCATTTGGATAGCGAAATTTAGAAAAACAGCAGTAAATAAGAACAATACATTTACGATAGATCAGCTGCGAAAAAAAGATTATCGAGCAAATAATAACGACAGCATCCGAGCCTCCAATAAGGAATACTATAAGGAAGATAAGCAACGATGGGATGCCATTTTTAAAGCCAAACTTGCAGCTCGATCCAACTGTGAATGTGGCGACACATATTCTGCTGCAAATCACCATGTTCACGTTCGATCGCAGAAGCACTACAAGAACAGAGTGCTTATACTATGATACTTTTTTGTGATACTGGCAAAACAATATAGAGACTTGTAGATATAAATAATAACAGAGTGTAGATAGTCATGGTGAGCCGGTACGCGCTAAGCGTCAAGACACAGGAACAACATGAACCTAATTACATCGTTTCTACATTATCTTAATGTATATACCTAGAAATTGGACATTCAATACGTTGATACAACGCTTGTGTTTATTAGAGACTGCAATCCAATCAGTACAACTAATCTTAGGCGTACCCATATTGAGAATGGCATAATCTTTGCTTCTGTCAAAATTCTGCTTAAAATCGACTTAGTCTACTTGGACTCCCAGAGAATTAGCGAGTTTCATAAGTTGATCTGTTGTTCGAGATAATTTGATAATTGACTTTGCGCTCATACTCGATCTTCGTAGATACCATGCAATTTTTGATTTTTTTGTTGACGATCTATATCTTGACCAATTTAAGCATCTCATACTTTCCAATGTCCACCGCAAGCGATATTTCTGCTTTCGAGCACTCCGTTGAACCAGCGCCAGCTGAAACGCTCTTCCGCGATAAGAAATGGACCTATATTCAAGATTCGACCTCGAACACGGGTCAATATGCCGGTCATATTCTTTTCAATCTATCTACCATCTCAACACTCACTCTAAGGCCATCACTGAATGGGACTATAACTACTACTGGTGTATTAACTCCGGCTAAGATTTCTAGTATCAGCAACAACATGAACTTCGGTAACACTTGCCCTATCATGTGGAATCTCAACTCTGCAACCGGAAATGCGTCGTATGGTGCGGGTAATGCAACCGGTCTCGCGCTACCAGCCAGTGCAGTACGAACTTAACTCCATCGCAAGCCTCTCTTGACTTCTTGTTCCTACTTACAGTCCGAATCCTTCAGCTGACAACGCTCTCATTCAAAAGAAGACGTTCCGATACTTCGAACATATCACACATAAGTTTACTGTTCTTTCGAATCAATCGTTCACATGGACAGTCAGTAATGGTATTGCTAACCCCAAGAAGCTAATTCTACAACCTGTAATTAGCAACCTGAATGCAGGTGGTACTATCGCAGACACGATCAATCCTTTCCATCCGCCATTAACCACAATTCCTGCTACGACTTCTTCGATCGCATCTCTAAATAATCTCCAAGTTACGGTAGGTAGCATCCCTATCTGGAACAACCCAATCAGCTTTGGTTATGATCTCTTCGTACAAGAAATGTCAAAATCTGGTGTTGATGGAGGCTTAGACGATCTTACAAGCGCCGGTCTACTATCTCAACGATTATGGGAATCCCTCTATTGCTTCATTGCTGTTGATAGTGGTCGACATCTTCCTTCTGAGGATGGTGCGCAGAAATCGATTGTCATTTCAAATACGTCAAACTGTGCATACCCATTAACAATTTACTACCATCTCTGGCGTGAAGTTGTCGCCATTGTTGACACTGCTATGGGTACTGACTGTATCGCAAGGTCCAGTTCAAAACTAAGCATCATTGTCTTCTCAATATATTTTTTTTGATCTGCCAAATATAGCATCCAGAAACAATGAACGGGTTCTTCACTGATAACCAAACTAAGCAAAAAGCTTACGACCGCTATTGACCCCTAGAACATTGCACTTACAGATACGGTGACTGGGCCTAACTGTGAAGTAGTAGATGCAGTTGATCCACCAAAAGCATACAGAGACCCACCAACATCCAATGTAATTGAGACTGTTCCCGAAACATGCAAAATTGGACTTGGAGAGGACACGCCAATCCCAACTCTACCCGCGGATGTGATAGTCATCTTGCGCGAGTTACCTGTCATAATCACAAAAGACAGTGTCCATGTATGCACTATTTGTTAAAGTAGTGCTCACGCCATTAGATAGTTGGAAGGCAAATGATACAGAAGTTGATATGCTCGATTCGACGTAGAGCGGCAAACTTGTTAGTGCATTGCTGCATTTGATATACATACAGTCCTTGATTTAGTGTGATTGGAGCCGTGTCATAACTACTACTATATGGAGTGTTGGTGTTAGACATCATCTTGTTGATGGTATCAGAAACAAGATACAAACACGCTGCTGACGATGTTGGAGAAGAACCCTCGACATTGATTGCAAAAGCATCAGCTGAAGTTGCCAGCTTATATGTGTACGGATATTCAGACTTGTATGGCTAAGTGTTCCCGATGTTGAAGCAAAATCTGTGAGTCTGTGACGTGATACCAACTGAGGGTTTGTCATTCGAGCTGATATTGAATAGATCCACAGATGTTGCTAAAACCCCACCGATTTGAGCAGATGCATCGATAGAGGAAACAAGATTCAAAATCGAATAGGTTCTGTTGGTACTGGAGGATCCAATAATTTGGGTACCGATAGTAAGTGGACTGGAATTATCAACTCTGTAAACTCGAATGCTATCTCTCAAATCTGCAGCTGTTGCTATGACAAGAGTTTCTCCAAGTTTCAATCCCAGAGTAGATCCATTATGCGCAACGATATTGACGTTTCCTGAAGCATCGCAAGTCAATCGTCTCGACTTGTTTGTTCTAATCGCAACTTGATGTGCTGTTGTTGAACCAATATCTTGCGCTCCTCCTGAAGATTGAATTGAGATCCCAAATGTACTGGTCGAAATAGTATTCGTACAACTGATTGGTGTTGTTCCATTTGAAACAATAAGACTTCCGGGCAGGGCTAAATTTCCTGTTGATGTTATATTTGGTCGCGCTGCAGTTTGCAAAGTATCCGTAATATTTGTTGCTGTGACGCTATTCAAATTTTTAATATTAGAACTAGCATCACAGACGAGTGTCATGCATAATATTCTTCGGTATAATCATACAACTCACATTTTGTACAATAATTGACATATCTTGCATTACCCTTTTGTGGAATTCTGCAGAATCTAGAGGCAGATACAAATGTAGACGATGGACTCTCAGACTTGCTCATGAGTGGAGCTTACAATTTCAATCTTTATGCATTGTAGAACACAGTCTTCTGCGTAAAGTTTCTTAGGTCATATAACGAGTCGCAACCTGTAAACGGTAATCTCGTTACATTGAGTACTCATTGCTCGCGAATTTCAAGGGTGACCTATTTAAATAATTAGGCCTCAATACTGCCTTACTGTGTTCAATTATGTATCAATGTATTACATGACTGGAGACAGCCCATAAGTCCAGGGAACCTCTTCATTATGCAGTCCTAATGTTCTCTTCATGCAATTCGTAAGGATCTTTGAGTTTGTACGATTGCACAAAAGTGAATGTAGAACCCTAGACGTACATACAAATACGGCATGCATCTCATTCCAGCGTAGTTAAAACAAAGGCTTCCACTTGTGATCAT